CTGAACTAATAAAAATAAAGGATGGACCTCCTCACTAAGATTACTGAGTATGAGATTGAGCCTTCGCTAATAGCTAGCAGCTCCCCTGTAAGGATCACGGCCGAGCAACTGAGACAGAGAGAGGCCAACAGAGGGGAGTGGAGGGGGAGCTTCTGACGGCTTCTGATTCGATGCTGGTGCATTCGGCAGAGCTTTTAAACCAGAGGTACAAGTATACATTTTGAACTTTTTAGAGCATTTTTCCATACCTGACGGTACAGGCAAAAGGACTACACACTAGCAGGTAGCAGTAACGTGTATGCTAAGTAATCCACCTGGACAGTTTTAGCATCATGATATTCAAAACTAAATTCAAGGAAAGCATCAACCCTGAAGCACTAATGACAATGTTCAGTTCTGCCAAAAGGTTCTTGGAGCTATAACAAACATATCATAGTACATACCATAAAATAAGTTTTCTCAAAATTGCTTTAAATCATTTTCTCTATCTGTGTCTCTCTCTGGCTCTGTCTGTCTCTCTCAGTCTCGCTCTCCCAGATACTGTATCACTGCAGAAAGGAGGGTACATCTTTCTGATTCTCCCTTCTTAGCTCCCAAACTAGACCCTCCTGATCCTCCTCTGACAGTGAATCCCTCCAAACCTCCCCCCTTCAAGGGTTTTCCATCGCTTTCAGTGGTTTAGTTTCATTTTTCTGAGAGAAACATTTTGGTTTCTTGGACCTTCTCCACTTTCATATTGTCTCAGTTTATCATGAAAAACCCATGATCAGGACAGCAAATAGAAGGCTTTCATCGCAACAGATAGAAATGGTCCACAGTACAGCTTATGTTTACTGATCTTCAGAGACTGAAGAAAAATGATCTTATTGATTTAAACCCTATTCTGAATAAGAATTCTTTTTAACACATATTTTAATTGTGTATAAATTATCCCACGATCACCTGTGACCCATCATGGGAAGTTCTTATCACATTATGCAAGTATAATATACATGGAAACAGTTCATCCTAAATTCAATCCAAGTACACATAAGAAAATAAGCACTAACGTAAGCACTAGTATCTTAACTATAGAGAATGATAAACCTACCCCCCCCAAAAGAAAAGCAGGTGAAGACAGCAACTCTACCAAACTTGGTTTGCCCACTTAAACCACAAGAATCTCAACTACAGAAATTATCTTCTAATAATATCTGAAGAAATACTTTAGTTACTTTAAGGGAGGAAAAAGAAAAATAGATAAGCCACATTGAAGTTAAAGAAGTATACTCATGGTTGCATATTATGTACATTTATATAGCAGATCTGTGTTTTAATTTCAGGTTCCCTCGTATTTAGAAAAGAGCTAAAATTCTCAAGGAGTTGTTGCTTGAAAGACCACTGCCTGTTCTCTTCCATTTTGCCTATGACATCACATCCACTTTCAAGGTCGTTACCAATAACTGCACAATAGTGTCACTTTCCAGCTGTCAAATCAAACAAAACTAAAGACATTTTTCTCCAACAACCTTGTGGTTAAATATCTGAGATGAGCCACATGACAAAGCATGACCACAGAGCCCACAGAGCTCTTTCCTACATGCTCTCCTAAGTATACTAGGCTAGGTGAGGGCAGGATTTTTACCATGCTCCTTGAATGGAAACAGCAATTTCCAGAATGAATTCGAATTGGAGAGATCCTACAGAGATAAAAGGGTCTGTGGATATAGAGCATATCAGGCCACACTCTGCAAAGAGAGAACTGGGAGCAGCTTAAATAAGCATATGAACCACTTGATGTAATTAAAGAGCCTGAAAATGGGACTCCATTGGGCCCAGTAGCAGGTTCATGACACCATGCTTTAAAACCCCTCAGCCTCTCTACACTATGTCTAGTGCCTCTCCTCATCCGGGCTCTTAAAAAAACAAGGGAAAAACAGTCCCAAAGCCCCCCAGCAGAACTGCCCTCCTGAGTACACTGAGCAAACCACGTTCACATACCATGCCATATCTAATGGTGTTGGTCTCTAGTATGATAATTGCTTAGTAAGACTTTACAACCTTTTCTAACTGCAAAATTTTGGTATTACTATTTGGCAACTTAAACTCAAAGTTCCCAGGATCTTGGAAATAAACTGGATTGACTAGTGGCATATTATTTTCTACTCTAAAAACAAATCATAGACTGTAAGCATGAGTACTGTTTTCCAAAAAAAGTAATATAACATCACACACACACGAAAAAAAAAAAAATCAAGGCAAAAATTAAATTACCAAATTTTTATATCAAAATAGATTTTAAAAATCTAATGCTCTTTATTGCAAGACATCCTTTTGTTAAAAGATTTGTTACTTTTTAATGTTTTACCTAAAATTTAACATGCTTACAAAACAGGTTTGTCTTTTTATTTAACACCGTAGAAATGTAATTAGTAGGGGCTGGGGATTTAGCTCAGCGGCATAAGCGCCTGCCTTGCAAGCGGGCCGTCGTGAGTTCGATCCCTGGTACCGATAAAAACGAAAAAGACAAAAAAAAAAAAAAAGAAAAAAAAAAGAAATGTAATTAGTAAAAGATACTACACAATTTAGAATAGGCTTTCTCATTTATATTACCTTCCAAATACTTTCCAATCAGCAAAAGTTAATACACCAATTAAAATATTTCTATATATGATGCGAACGTTTACAATTTAAAGTTTAGAAATTGTTTTGGATTATCATTATATGTATGAAAATTGTGTAACACTATGCTCATGCTAAGAACCGACATAACAGAATCACTGAAATAAATGTGCTGTGAGGAATGGAAAATGTATGGGGCAGGTGTCTTGGTCATAACAAATTGTGAGCATTCTTTAAAAAAAAAAAAAAAACAACTCATGGGACTTCCCCAGGTCTACCATAGAGCTTATGAATTTTGGTTGTTTCTCAGAGTAGCTTTTTCAATATTCAATAATGTAAATAAAATGGCATGACAAAATCTGTACCCTAGAGTTAATAAATTGTGCTTCTACTGCAGGACAAAAAGAAGTGACTGGTCAGCTTGCACTTTCTGCCAAATTAGCCACAACTCTCCTAGGAGAAGCCATGATCCTCCACACACTAATTAAATAAGTCAATGCTGTAATCACACTTTAGATAACTAATCTACTTCAATCCTGATAATTTAATTACCTAATTCTGGTAAATAAATTCCAACCTTAGTCCAAAATGATTAGAGGATTAAAGTTTAAAACTAGTGAATACAAACTGAAATAGAACACTTATAAAGTTCAGAAATTTCATAGGGTTTGTTCTTCACTCAGGTGTCAGTTTATTATCCCGAATCCAGAATTTAAATATATTAATATCCCAAGGTTTTCTGAACCAGTTCTAAGTGACATGACCAGTTCTAATGGATGTAACTTAATAAGTTGCTTTCCAGGCTTAAAACTCCCTAGCAAAGTGGTCTTCCCTGACTTCTCCATATAAAATAGTTCACCACTTCCACTTACTCTGCTTTGTTTTTTGCACAACACGCATCACCTGTGTACCTGTGTTCCATGCTGTGCCACCTGATAGAGTGACAGACCATGCTAGACCCCATCTCGAGGCTTAGAAAGCTGTCTGACATACAGACACTAAGTAAAAATGAGTTAAATGAGCAAACGAATGTCTTAAAATGTAGACTCCCAAATAGCACATATGTACTTCGACCTGTAGTTTTTCCTAATTTTTAATTATAATGATTTCAATAGCAAGAATAAACAAACCACAGAGAAAAATGAACAATTTCTACTACTAGCACCTCTACACAAGAGAGCACCACCAGTTAAAACGTTATGTTCTTATAATGGAATAAACAATTTAACTGAATGCTGATAATGAGCCTATGATGGAGGTATTCCCATTTCATGGATTAGAAAACTAAAAATCAGAGAGGTAAAATAAAATGCCCATGGTCAAACAGGGTCAAATCAACACATTCAAAACTTGTGAGCTCTGACATCTACACCCCTAAAGTTGATGTGTAACAGCGACACATCATTAGGGGACAAAAGCCTTTAGGATCAGTATCATAATGGCACAGTACAGAGTCCCCACCAATATAAAGAGCTGAAAAAGGCACAGCACCGTCTACAACTGAAGCTCAAGACTGCCAAAACTTGAGACATACTTAAAAAGTAAACATAACTCAAATCTTTCTTCCAAAAGAAATACCTTAGAGTCACAATTGGTCTAGTAGATAGATGGAGGTAATACAAATAACTTCTATGCTTGTAACCTGGCCTTAGGTTAAAGTAGCCAATAAAAACTAGTACTCTATGTTAAGCTACTTTTTGCTACCCTAATTCTATCATAAATTCAGCCAAAAATCATTTTCCACTGTCTCCAGCTTTTTCTTTGGCCTCCATTTTGTATTTTTCATCAAATCCATTTATTCACAATTTGTACACGACTAGTCAAGCTCATTTGTTCCATGAAATAAATGCCATTGATTCTGTGTGCTGGTAACGGTTTCTCAGACAGTTAGTCATTACTTCCGCCCACATATTTCATATTTCCCTGGAAAACTGGCAGCCACGTGGGGACTTAATGCTCCTTTCAATAACCACATTTATAATTTGTTACAAGATAATTTTATCTATCAGGAAACTCATGTTAAAAATATGCTGTAATGCATTCTCTTATAAGTAGAGTAAAATCAGTCTTCTTTTCCTATAATACAAACATCAACCCAATTTATAAATGACATTGGAAATCAATAACCATCTTTATTCACTAACAAGGAAAGGTCTTTCTGAGTAGACCACGGTATTTCTTAGCCAATCAACTACCCAAAAAACAAAAACATTTTAAAACTTGTAAGATATGAAGTACTCTTAAATTAAACAAATGTATTATAATATTTGCACCTTTAATTATACATTCAAAGCCTCCTGATTATAGGTGCACACAAGCTTAACTACTTCATTAGACAATGCATTGTTTTCCACATTACATGTTTCAGCAATATTTTTCAGCTTGACAGTTTTACTTACTGTCTTCGAAGCAGTATTAATGTACTGCATCACCATTTCTTTTTTGATACCGAAGTCCTTTTCCCGCAATGGTGCCTTTTTATCTTCATTTAAATTCATATCTTCCTGGAAAACACAATTAAAATGGCTGATTTTAGAATCTAAGGAAAGCGGCAATTCTACACACTGCACTGCAAATGGGAAAATCAATAATTTGTGACTAAAGCAGCATTAATTGTTTTGGAATGATTTGCGTTCTGCCCGGAGGGTAGGGAGAGAGGAAGAATAAAGAGACATAGAAGAAAGTAATGTGGGTCATTTTAACAGGTAAAGTGCTCACCAGAAAAACCTTAAATTCACACCAGGCTATTAAAATTATATTCACATCACTACAGATAATTAGACAGTTGCTGATTTCTGCCTTTCATGAGGTCATTAGGATTCACAATTTCAATATATTTATTTATTTTCAACGGGTGCATCAGAAGCAACCTTGTACTATTTTTTGAAACAGCTGCTGTGTACTATGAAAATTAAAAAAGTTAAATAAACCACCACCTTCCTATATGGATAGCTACAAGAACATATCCAATCAACTATATATTGTATATCCCAGCAACTGAAAAAGCATTCTATGATTTTATTTGTCTTTCCTATCCCCATCAAAAATATTTAACTAGCTGGGGATTTAGCTCAGCAGCATAAGCACCTGCCTTGCAAGCAGGCAGTCATGAGTTCGTTCCCTGGTACTGATAAAAAGGAATAAGGAAAAAAAAAAAAAAAATTTAACTAGTTATTTTACCTAATGATCTAATCATGTTAAAGTTGCACTAATATAAAAATAAGCATCACCTAAAAATTTAACATGTCTCAACAGCACTAATCAAAATAAAGGGTTATACATCTTGTATTTTCTTACAGGACTAATTCTGAGTGAAAGTACAACGTAGGTATAGCCATATAAATGTATGAATTGCTATCAAGAGGTTGCCTAAGAGGTGGTTCTGGCATCCGAAGGGAAGCCTGGGGTTAAAACAGACTTGGCTGAAGAAGGACACAGGTAAACTCCATATGCGCTCAGATGGGGCTAAAAAATCAGGACTTTGGATCACCTATGGAACCCAGAAAGTTACATTTCTTCCAAGTTTTATAAAAATGTTACATTCATCAGACACTACCTCTGACTCAACTTTTGGCCACCAAACCCTACAGACACTTAAATGTCAAAACTGTCTTCATTTCACCTTGGTAGAAATATCTAAGAACTTAGAAGTTGTTCCATGTGACACTCAAAAACAAGGCAGTAATTGGTAATGCCACTCTGGCTGCTCTAGTTAGAAAGCTCCTTCAAATTGTGCAAATAGTAGATTGTTTTCATTTTCTTTCTTGGTTACTGATTCTCAGAAGACCTTCCAATTACCTATGGAGGATTTTTCCAAAATTCTGGGGACATTTTGTTGTCACAGCGACTGCCTTTATCATAGCAAAGTATGCAAGACATTCCTGTTAGTCCTATACTACATAAAAACGGTCTTGTAGCCTACAATCACACATTAAATGAGAAATAATTATCTGAGCCCTTAATCCAAGTCAACGGAATCAAATATAAACTGTAAAATAGAACGTAAATTGTAACATATTAAATACTTTGTATTGCATGGTTTTAACATATACTAAACTTTCCAACTATTCTGAAAGTTACAGTTAAATTCTTTTTTTAAAAAAGCTTTACCAGTAATTTTGCTCTATTTCTGAAATCTGAGAATCCTAAGGCAACACTGTTTGTGATACTCCAATTGCTAAAGGAGCACACCTCTATCAATCTGTTGTAGTCACAGTGGTATGAAGCAGAGATTCAAGAATGTTTCTTCATTGTACTTGCTTGAGTATGCAGGGTCAGTTGCTTATATTGAAATACAGACTATTATCTAATTCAGTAAGATATAGCAATTTTTTAAAATTATGCATGTAGGTTGCTTATACTATCTGTAAATAATTTCACTGGAAATAAGCCAGACATAGAAAGACAAATACTAAATGTTCTTATTCATAAGGAGAAGTGTAAAATGTTCATCTCCAAGGAATAACAGTACAATACTGCGAAGCACAAGGGTTTTAGGGGAAAGAGAAAACTGATTAGTGGGTATCAGGTATAAAGACACAGGTAGACAACGGATGAAATTCTTGTGTTCTATAGTACAGACAGGTGACTATAGGCAATCACTTATTTTATATTTCCAAACAACTAACAGGATTTTAAGTATTCCCAACACAAAGAAATGATAAATATTTGAGGCAACAGATATGCTAATCATGATTTGATCATTGTGCACTTTATACATGTCATATATTACTGTGCCCCATCAATATATACAATGATGTAACAAGTAAAAACAAAAATAAAAAGAATTTCAATGGAAGAAAGTAATAGGAAAGTTAGACAATAGTTATAAAAAGTGGGGGAACCCAAGAGAATTGAAAATCTGTTATGAATTCTCAATATTTTTATGCTGTCAAACATAATTCAGATTCTTTAATGAGCTAATTAAAATATTTAATATATACAAAATACTAAACAATGAAAGCCAATTACTTGTGGCTGAAGTTAAATTTCAAGAAGGGTAGTTGAAAGAAAGGGAAAAAAATAGGCTACTGCTTTTTGTTTTCAAAGGCTTTCCCAGATGACATTAGTTAGTACACACAGGTGGTAGTAATGATTAACTTTAGATGATGATTAATGCTAGGTGAGTCCTCAGGATTAAGGGGATCTGTGAGATTGTTTCCACAAGAGATGAGCATTTGAATCAATGGACTGATTAAGAAGATACACCCTCAAAGATACACACTCAGTGTCGTCAACGCCTACCAATCAACTGAAGACTCAAATAAATCAAAAAAGAAGAGTAAAAATAATCCCCCTTCCCCCTCCCCCTCCCCTTCCCCCTCCCCCTTCCCCTTCCCCTCCTCCTTCCCCTCCCCCTTCCCCTCTCATCTACAGTTGGGACACTCCTCTCCACCTGACAAACTCCACATTCACACCCAGAGCTGCACCTCTATGCACCACTTCAGCCTTGGAAAGAGCCTTTTACTAACTCCCTTGATCCTCCTCGTTGATGATTTATGCTTCAATAATTTAGTGAGCCAACTCCTTTTACAAACTCATGTATCAAACAACCTATCTACATCCTTGTATATCTCTCTGGACAACACTGATTAGTATAATGTTATATCTGGAACTAAGGAAAAATTCAGTGTTACCAATGCTCTCCTCTGGGTGTTATATACTCAGTCTTATTTAAACATGGCACTTACTTTCCTGACAAAAGTATGGTGACAATCTCAATGCATAAAACAAAAAGGAAATAAAGAAGAAATAATAATACCATCCAGAAAAGTATGGAATCAACTACACAACACCGTAAGTCCCTGGAATGCTCACTAGGAATAAAATTCTGTGTAGCAGGCATCGGCCTCTGTACTCCAGGAGGAAATGGCCTTGCAAAGAGTAAGACTTGCTGTTTGCAAAGAAAAAAAGAGAAATAAGAGAATTATAGAGAGAAAAAAAGTATTAATTAAAGTATAAAAGACTTTTAAAACAGATCTTTAGTTTTTAGGTGTGGAGACAGGGGTAAAAAATAATCTCATGAGGCCATAGCATTTAACTTTGGGGAGACCTAAGTGGTGAGAAAATGCATTGTGAGTTTTAACCTTTAAAGCAGGTGTCTATATTCTATGCTACAATCTCAAAAGGATTAAGCATCTCCCAAGGCTATTCAAGAAACTGAACTGGAGGTAGGAAAGGTGGAGAGGAAGGGAGCAGAAGAAACACGGTAAGTGAGTCATTAATTTTTTGGTTTCTCGTTTTACACTTGCTCAAAGCTATCATACTGTATCTCCATTGTCTTAGCTCAGGTTCCTCAGAGGCAGAGACTGAGATAAAGTCAAATACAGATGGATCTACAGAGGGGAAATTCTCAGTATAAGGAAAGTGAAGACAGGAAAGAGATACACCAAAATGTGACTTGGAATAGGTTCTTTGCTCAAATTGAACTGCATACCAGGACCACCCGCAGGGACCAGCCTCTACACCCTCAGCTGAGCCATCCTTAGCATTAGGGCCCACTTCTCCTGACAGCTGACCTTGGGGAAAGACAGCCACTAGGAGCCACTTAAGAGCCCACAGATATCACCTGGGGTATACAGAGCAGCCTAATAAAGCACAACCAGCACTCACTACAGCATCTGCAAGTAATCTGCTTGATACTAAAATGTCTCCTTTCTCCTAGAATTGAATAAATACAGATGCCTATAAGATGAGCAATAAAAGTCACTGTGTATGAACTGACTTTTACATTCAAATTTAAAAGATCAAGATACCTACCACACTGCATATATATATATATATATATATATATATATAGTATATACATATATATATACACACACACACATATATATATAAAACATATGCAATGAAATTATAGATGTTTATAGCCCTGGTGACAATCTGTTCCAAATAATATTATTTTTTCATGAAATATCTGTTATAGACAAATTATTAAACAGGAAATACACAAAAACATACAAGGTTTGATGAGTAATTTTTTTATTTTAAAGAGATTAAGACAAACGAGGACATAACAAAGCAGATCAGATCAGAACAATGCAAATAACACAGCATTTTACCACAAGACAACCCATAATTAACAGTAACTACCAGTGTCTCTTTCTTTGAAATAGTTGGGCGTAGCTTCATATACGATAGTATCGATAATTTAAATAAAGCAAAAATTTCAGTGAGAAATTAAGTATTTTTAAATGTAAAAACTGTTATTGATTTTCTATTTAATGAATGCACTTAATTCAAAATATCTGAACAATCGCCAAAACAACAGTTTAGAGTGTCTGAAGCAAATACTATTTTTATGTTGAAGTTCCATTATTATAATAGCTATAAGCATTATGAATTACCTCATTCACAGCACTATCTTTATATGTATTTAGTCAGTTTGCCAAAAGAAACTGAGATTTGCAAAATCAAAAATTATTTTCCTTTAGTTGATTAGTTTTTAATTAAAACTGAAAGCTAAATTTAATCACTGTACTATTTTACCATGCCAGCTAGC